CTACATGGACCCCGGGGCTTCTCCTCTTGCCTACGTGGATGCAGTTTCTCCTCCTGCTGGGCACTGTGCTGCCTGCCCTGGTCACTCTGCATGGGGCAGGGCTTCCAGGACAAGCTGGGTTGAGGCCTGGGAGCTGGCTCAGGCTGGTTTCAGTTGAGCCACTGCACAGGGAAGGAACCTAGCTGAACACCCATCTCCCAATATGCTCCCGACCCTGGCGCTGCCCAACCACCTCCCAGAGGGCACCTCGACCCTTCTGCTACCCACACCCAGCAAGGGGTGTGGTGTCTCCACCGAGCCCAGCCAGTGGGGCCCGGCACAGCCACACCTGTGCTCACCATTCCCAAGGCCAAGCTCCCTGCTAACATGGCAGGCCAGGGCCAGGCCTGGAGGAGACGGAACATCAGTCCCATGGCCAAGCTCCCTGCTCACATGGCAGGGCTGGGCCTGGAGGAGACAGAAAGCCCAGTCTGGCATGGTACACAGGCTGCACATGCCTGCCACGCGTGGAGGCCACGCGACAATGCCTGCCACACACGGGGGCCATGTGACACACATGTGTACTTACACGGGCTTCACGCAGGGATACACACATTTGCAACCCCAGCACCCACCCTGAACACTCAGGCACGGGCTCCCCGGGCGGGTCACAGTTCTCTCGTCATGAGCTGCTCCAAGTGCCAGGCCCTTCACCCACGTTCCCGTCCCCAGGGCTGGCTGCTGAGCCACACCGTCTTCTCTGTGGATCCCTCCCAGCCCGCTCAGCACACTGGACATGCTCTCTCCTGTCCTGTGACTACACCGGCCTCTTCCCCTCAGCACCCACGTCTGCCCGTCTCCCAGGAAACCTGGACCACCACGGTCAGGGACCACCCCACACCTGACCGCAGGTGGAGTCACATTGCGTCCTGCTTCAATATTGAAAAGGGGAAATGCTGGAGGAGGGGAAAGATAAAGGAGAAAAAATCAGGAGGGGAGGGTCACATTCTTGTGAGGCTTTGATTAGAGCTCACTGAGCCCCCACGTTACACGAAAAGGAGGGGTGGAGGGAGCAATTACTCACTCGCCTTGTGCTCAGTAAATCTCCACTTGATAAGAAAATAAACAGAGTAGAAGACGTCAAATATGCGTTCGTCTCAGGGGCAGGAGGGACGATGTCTTGTCTCATTTTGCCCCGTGCCATGAAGACCAGGCTGTTAATTTATAGTGTCAGGATGAGGGAGGCCACCTGGGGACACCCGGCCTATCTGCTGCTGCTATCAGTTTAGAAACAAAAGGAAACGCATGACTTTTGTTCTTTTTTTATTTTTCATTTTTTCCATGACTCAGTTTCCAAGCTCAGCTTTTCTTTGCGGCAAAATGAGTTTGGAGTACTCAGATTTTGTTTTTCTTTCACAATCGTCAAGGTCAGTGGTGCAACCAAGGTCACACCCTCAGTATTCAGGAGGGCTGGCCACACCTAGACCCCTGCCATCCCTGATGCTTATCAAATACATGCTGAGGTCTCTGACACTCTCTCACCATTGTAGAAACTGAGGCCTTGGGGAGGCTGCAGCCCGTGCTCACGGGGACAATGCCAGGCTGGAACCCGCAATGCTGACCCCAAAGCTCTTATTCCTTTCACGCACCCCACACCTCCTCTTTGAGTCCAGAACATTGTCCTTGCCTGAGTCCTACCCTCAGGGACAGGGGCTCAACACAGCCACCAACACATCATACCCTGAGAAGGTCCCTTGAGTCCAGACAGGTTTGGAGAGCACAGAAGCCCCGGAAGCTCTGTGGAGGGGCTGCACAGTTCTCTATTCAACACATACTCACCAGGTGGCCACCAGCAGAGATGCCACATGGCACGGAGCTCGCCTGGGCCAACAGGACAGGTGTGGGGCTGGGAGGCGTTCCCAGGGCACTGGTTGAAGCAGAGCTGTGGGGAAAAGTTGCACCAACCTCACATCTGCTCGTAGACACCCGGTCTCCTGCCCTCCAGGGCCACAGAACACTAAGCTTCCTGGATACTGAGGCTGGATGGGGCCATGGGGAAGAAGAAATCTCAGTGAGTTAAAAGGTCATTTTAAAAAAATATTATGATCATGACTCACATAAACATGATGACACATTTCAGAGATGCTGTTTATCTCATTAATTAAAGTACTACAACCAGTTCAAAGAGGAATTCAAATGACTACACTTATATAATTGATCAAGGAATGCTAAAAGGAGTTCATAAATAAATGCAAAATTGCCCTTTTCCCTGGGAGGTGAGGAGGAATCCATTGTCCTTCCAAATATGAGAACTTGAATTTCTACCAATTCAAAGAGTTTTGCATTGCCATCAATTATCTTCAGCTTCGAGCAGTGGTCCCCAACCTTTTTGCCACCAGGAACTAGTTCCATGGAAGACGATTTTTCCACAGACCAGGATCGGGGGATGGCTTGGGGACAAAGCTGTTCCATCTCACATCATTAGGCATTAGGGTCTCATAAGGAGTGTGCAACGTAGATCGCATGAATCTGCAGTTTGCAATAGTGTTTGCTGCTATGAGAATCTAATGCTGCCACTGATCTGACAGGAGGTGGAACTCAGACAGTAATGCTCACTCACCCCTCTCCTCCTGCTCTGTGGCCCAGTTCCTAACAGGCCACGAACCGGTTCCAGTGCATGACCCAGGGGTTGGGGACACCTGGTTTATAGAGTTGTAAAATAGTTCAAAGAAAATAAAAGATGCAGAGCTCCATAGAAGGAAATAACCTGGAAGAGTGTACAAGACGATGCCTTGCTTTCCATTGAAGGCACCTAGTAATCTTTTGGTCCATTTCAGTTTTTCTCAACGTTTCCTATAAACATATATAACTACCTGACAGAAACAGACCCATAATATAGAAAAGATATCTGTAAACCAACCCAAAAAATGCAAATATTCAATAGAGGAATAGGAAAGAGAATTGAAGAGATGTTTTACAGAAGATATCCAAATAGCCACTAAACATTTGAAAAGATGTTGAACCACACTAGTCAACAGGGAAATAAAAACGAAAAACCACATGCGAGAAAGTCGTTCTAATTCCAGTAATGCTGGAGCAGCTAATATCAGACCAGTCCTTTGGCAGATGGCAATTATAAACACTGGAAAAACTGTAAGCACACACAACACACACACACCAATTGCAGGCACTGGAACATGACCAAAAGGAGACAAACACTGGTAAGGATTATTCCTTGAAATATTTGTCTGAAGTCACACCCCAGCGCATGTAACAGGTGCAGCTAGAGTTCAAGCAGGAAACTGCAGCCCTCCTGCTGAGGAGTGGGATGCAGGGCTGCATTTTCAGAGCAGCTGGAAATCAAGAGAAGATGTCCATAAAGGAGAAGGTCACTGAAGGGAAACCCCACAATCTGCAGGTAAACTCCA